TGATAAGAAATGAAACCAGTATGCATAATGCAGATGTCTAAGGAGAGTGATATTCCCAGGGCTCTAGGAAGCAGGCTAATCAGGTTTCAATCAGGAACCTATCATTCAGAAAGAATTAATTCAGGATGGGAGGCAGGGAGGGAGCAGAAGCACAGGAAAGATCTCAAGATCTAACTGGATGACTCTCTCCTTGGGAGGAGGCAAACCATGTCACCTGGGGGTGTATGCTGCAGGGGAGGCCAGCCAGGAGGTTTTCCGATAGCCTGCTGCAAGAAAATGCTGAGGCATACTGCTATATATTCCTCATAGATGCTCTGGCTTCCAAAACCCACTTAAACTGACACTGCTTCTGATCTCTTTGGCCTAAAAAACTATGCAAAGGAGGGGACAAGGAGGAGTGGGGCATTCCCTAGGGCAGGCTTCTGCAACGGACACACCTTCTTAGTCTGATAAGGTTTATTATGTGCTGGGAACAACAGGATTGGGGATGTTTCTGAATTCCCAGCTCTGTGCAAATCTCTGCTGTTATGAAGTACCTTTTTCTTGGGGGGGGGAAGGCTCAAAATATTACCCATTTAATTACAGTATATAGAGTTGACATTTCTGAGCTCCTTCCCATTTGGAAAGCTATGCAGAGAGAATATACTCTCCTGGAAGAGGAGCACCGAGAGAAATATGGCCATAGAGGAATAACGTATATTTCCCTCATCTCCTTCATAATCTTTACAAACTTGGGCCTAAACACTGTAAAACAGAACTATCGAGGTGGGGGAGGGGGGGAGGGAGTAAACTACAGGCTCACGTATTAAGCAGCAAATCTTGATGCCTAAAATGTACATCCCTGAAAAAACTACCCAGTTTACCAGTAAACCTCCCAAATGTACGGTTTTAAGCTGTTCATCAGTACTGGTAACATGTCCCAGTGTTCACAGGGAAGTTAAAACGTACTCATAACTTTAAATAAAGAGACCCTCTGAGAAGAGGACTGCGTAGATTCACATAGTTGGGGAAGCTTTGCGAAAACAAATGAAGTGATTGGCACCACTGTTAAATGGACTGTGGACGCCAGATTAGATAACTAGTATTGTGTCCGTGTTAAATTTCCCAAATTCGGTCACTGTACTATGCCTTTGCTCTTAGGAAACACACATTGAAATATTTCAGAATAGCGGGCGAAAGAGACAAAGCGAGAATGACAAAGCAAACACAGCAAGATGTTAATAGGTGGACCTAGGTGCAAGATACAAAGGAATCCCTTGCAGTGTTCTTGAGACTTTTCTATTAGTTTGAACTTATTTCAAAATGAAACATTTACAAACACCAAATGAAGTAATTTTAGGTTGACCTACTTAAACACTATATTTGTTGACATTCACTTTTCTCAAGGGGTTGACTGAATGCCAAGAGCTCTCTTCGAAAAAGACTTATCCTGTAGCTAAGTCTTTCCAAATTGCAAGGCCATCTTCAGAAGAAAAGGAATTACTCAAACAATCCACATCTATCTCATGCCCTGAAATGACCCCTTTAATAACTGATAGTTTTTCTTCCAAAACTATCAATGGATAGTTTGTAAATGGATTGTCATTTACATACGATTACTCATGTTAATATCTGAATCAGTACACCATTTGTTTGTCTAGAAGAGAGTTGTCTTGCCTCTCTTTTTTTGGTATCACACACAGCAATCAACAGACAGCTGAGCAGAATCTTAAGTATCCAGCAGTGCAGCTTCAACAAATGGAATAAATGCTTATAAAACAGAAAATTCCATGAACTGTTGGTGTCTTGCAAGTCACAATCCTAGCAGTCTCAAATTTCTCATCCTACAGAAGGAATTTCCAGATGAGGTTACAAAACCATAATTAATCACAATGAAACCATTTTCAAATTTCTGTTTTTAAAATAGTCCCTGACATCAAAAAGCCAGGAAAGGACTGTATAAGGAATGAAACACAAGGGGAAATTGAAAAATTAATTTATTATATGAAGAAACATAAACAGTATTTATTAGAGTCAATGGCTGCATAGAAGCAGCCTGCAAAAGCTCACATCCACAGTTTATTGACTGAGAAGTACTGACACATCACACTCATAACCACAGCACTAATGTTCTAAGGTGGTTTCCAAGGAAATGCTGTATTTGACACTTTTAATATTTATTTTCCCATTTACAAGGCTGAAAAGATTAAACCCACATTCAATTAAAGTCTACCAGGATCAGGCATTCAACTTGTAAAGCACAACTGTCAAAAGACACTAGCTACTATGTCCTGAATGAAAGATGCAAGATACAAAAATGATCAACTCATGATCACCAAAAGCAATTTCTCAGATTCCGGTGGGTTTTCTTCCTCCAAGTACCATGTGTTTGGGTGCTAGTATCTGTAAGCAACTAACGGCAAGAGAAAAGGCAAGTGCTGAGTTCTCTCCAAGATTAAAGACCATTTACACATGCCCAACGTATTCACTCAAGACACTCATGTGGATGACACTGCTTGTTTCTTTTCTAACAGTAAAAACATAGTAACAACCTGTTTATGGACTTGAATAACTATATTAACAACTCCTTAAATATGCATGGCACTTTAAAATATTTTCACAGCATTTGCACATCTATTATTTACCTTGATCTTTCAACTAACAACCTTGTGAGGTAGGCTGGGCAAGTATATCATCCAAATTTGGTGGGTGAAGAAACTGAGGCATACAACAATTAACTAACTTGTGGGGCTACACGGGGAGGTGCCAATCTCTACACTGTGCTGTCTCTAGGAATGAAGAGACAAAGCCTAAATGTGTTTGATGATCTTATTTCAATATATTTTGATGAAATACTTCACCTCCGTTCAGCTAAATGATCATGATTCAGTTCGAGCAGTTGTCATGACAAGTTATGGCATGCAATTAATTAGACAAAGCACTGAGAGTTTTAAAAATTGGAATTATAATGAGAAACATTTTAACTCTCAACACATGAGGGAACTTGCTTGTTTGTCTTTAGGGCAACCTAGCTCTGCAGTCTGAACTATCACTTTATCATTTCAGAGGTATAATATAAATAATTTTAAAACAAAAATTCTCAGTTCACTGACTTAAATTTTTCCCATACAGAAAAACACCAGTGGTTTCTCTCCCCCGAAGTGAATGGACACACATAGCCCCAGAGCAGGGCTATCTGTCTAGCAAGGGTTAAAGATGACAAAATGTCCAATTTATTTTATTTATTTATTTTTTTGGCAAACCTCTTTGTCCTTATAAATGTGCCTTATAATTGGGTTATGGGAGCCTGACAGACCATCACTGTTAGTTTGGTCTGGGGTCGTTTAAGATGCTTAGCTATCTTCTACATTAAAATGATTTAAAATGCATTTGAAGGCTCAGATTTTGTAACGGTTCTTGAGACAGGCTTCCAAGCCAAGGTTGGATGTATCCGTCCCTCCATCCCTGTTTAATTCAGACTACGATTCCTGCTCAAACTCACCATGTGTAACCTGTCTCCTGACAGACTGCCTATTAGAACCCGGGTGGGTCAGAAAGTCCAGCCATTAGGGGTCCTTAGACCATAAACCCTGACTGCCCTGCAATGTCCAGCCTAGTCAGTGACAGGTCGCCTGTTTCCAGATATTTCATTATCAAGGTTTTTATGGTAGACAAAATGGCACTAGATCCAGGCATTTTCCCGAGACAACTGAGAGTATGCTACACAATCCTTTTATGAAACAAATACGGTTCCAGATTAAAGGAGAAATTATACTGGAGACAGGAGAGCATAGGAGCATAAAACTGGAGATATCATTCAAAAAACTCACAATCATGCCAAGTCAAAATACATTCAGTTAAAGACTAAAATCCTCTAGTCATTTCATCTCTTTGTATAATTTAAAAGTTTCTGACGTCAATATCTAACTTGGGAGAGGAGACCCTTTTCCTTCAAATAATGAAAAGTAAAATGCCCTATACAGTCACGCCTGGTGAGAGATTTCTAAGGAGTTTTCTAGAAAAACTTAAGTTAACCAATGTAACTCTTGTCTAAAACTTTTCTGACAGGCAAGGAAGAAGAGGGGAAGAGAAGGCTATGAGTTTTATTTTCTTCTTTGTTAAGAAGGCAAATCCTAGCAAATTCAACTAGAAATTTCCCAGAATTGTAGGATGGGACTGAACCTTGAAGAGCTTTAAACCTACCTTCCAGCAGATTCATTTATCTTCAACCATCCTGAGAAGGTAAGATTTCTGCTTATAAAAGCCTACATCATTCTGATGTTTTAACAACCTTCTTAATCTAGAATTTCTTGAACACATTGAAGGAATACAACTTTCTTAACATTCTAGTGCTTCTATAGCCAGATTCAGAATTCAATTTTGCATCCATGGATCCTTGGGAATAAAGTCTCCAAGTCTAGACTTTTGAATCAGTCAGAGATAGCAGGCCAAGGTGGCTATGGCTGGTTATGTACAAAGAGCCCTAATGAGAGAAAATGGAATATCTGTCTATTCAAAAAGCAAACTTGAACAGCCCTCTCTGACAACTCTGACAGGAATGATATTGCTGATGACAAAACCCCAGTAACCTTCTGTGGTCATGAGGACAGCTCTTGGATGAAAGCCATGCTCAGAGAAAATAAGACAAGGGGCTACCTACACCAGCAGTTCAAAAAAACCTAGAAAACAAGAAAGCTCCTGTCCTCACTCTACCTGATGGATCTAACCAGCCCAACTCAGATAGCATGGGGACCTTGTCAGTGAAAAGGCCAGTAATGCCTGGGAGAACAAGGTCAACTACAAATGGCGGTACCTTAGGCTGCCCCTCCAATGCTCAGGGGTTTCCTTGGCTTCTCTCCATAGTTCCCACATGCCCAAGAGCTCTCTATAGGGGAGCAACTCACAAGGAGTTGAGAGCTAACTTCCCTTTCTTGTTAACTGCGCAGGGCCCATCACTTGTAGAAAGAACAAGGATCAACCCAGAAAACAGTATGTCTGAACCCCGAGAGACTCAGGTCCTATTAAGCAGAGCAGAGCTCATCAGTATTCAAAATCTGGCTGGGCATAGAACTTATTTTACTGCTAGAAGGTGTCTCATCCCTGTCTCCGGTTGACCTTAGATCTGTCTTGCCTACAGACTCACGGGATTTCTGCTGCCTACAGTCACAGCAAACACACTTTAGCCACTCTTGAAAGCCTTCGGAAACACTGGAAGAAAAGAGCTTTTTGCAAGGGTGGAAGAACTGATAGAACACCAGCATGAACAGGATGGCTGTGCAGTACCCAATGAGCAACTGCAGAATCAACAGAGGAGCACACACATACATATAGATGTCAGTCTTGTAAAGATACCACATGAGGAGGAGGAAGGCGTTCTCAATGAATCTCAGCATGTAGTACACCAGGAGCCGGTACCAGTTCTGGGACTTGCTGATGAGGTCAGGGTTGTTGATTTTCAGCTGCACAGCTGACCAGCAGAACATATTGATCCCGGCATAGAGTAAGGTGAGGAAGCACAGCACAATGGTGGTGCCCACCCGACTGAGGGCCTTCTCGATGTTCTCCGGGAATGGGGAGCCACTGCACCAGAAGAGGATCCAGGGATAGAGGAAGAAGCTGAAGAAGTTGATGAGTACAACTATTACCACCCAGGCCTTCAGGACGGAGGTAAAGAGGACCAGGACAATGACTCGCGTGGCAATCTCGAAGCTCCTCCAGAGGAAGATACACACATAGGCCAGAGGCTTCACTTTGACATCGTATTCATCATACTTGATCTTGATGGCTAGGATATTGCAGCGCAAGGCTCCGTACACAATGGACAACAGGGATAGGACCATGAAGAGACCTGGGGAGAGGAGAGAAAGAGCACTTTCGAGTCTCACCTCGCCAAGAATCCTACTCTTGCAGACACTTCCTTACCCCTATTCCTTGGACCCCTCTCTTTTCTGTTCACAGGCTGACTTCCGGTGGTCCGTATCCGCTCACTGTGCCTCAGGGTTTTTTCCAGGGCTGCACAAGGCTGCTCTGCCCAGGGGCCAGGGAGGCTTACGGGCTAGGGAATCCGTGCCCCTGGGAGAGCCCTCCATACTCAAGTCCAGCCCTGATAAGAGCTGGAACAGAACTAACCTGGCTCCCCCATGCCTTGGGAAGCATAACTCTGAGGCCTGTGTCCTCTCCTATTTACCAGTGTTTCCTCACAGGGCTACTTTCTGGTCACCTGTGGTGACAGCTGTCTAATCACGCTCCCTTTGTTGGCTGCCTTGCCTGCCTTGTCTTAGTCCCTTCTCCTGTGCTCCTTGCACCCTCCTCCAAAAACACATGCACTCAAAGCCTTGTCTCAGGGTCAACTCAAACTGAAATGCCTTTCTAACGCCATCTTGCTCTGTCGGAATATGTAAAGTCCTTTATGTGGTGTGCTCTGTTTCCTCACTTAGCTGATAAGCTCCCAAGGAGTCAAGAATGACCAAGTCTGACGTTCTGTCTCGGTGCCTCTCAACATACACCAGCAGTAGGTACACAAACAGAAAGGTCTCAATAATCAATTGCTCAGTGAGTTCCTCTTTATCTGCACGACCTTTGCAATTTATATCCCGACTATAGAACGCTCACTTTTCTTTACTCTTCAGTTACATTTAAGACTATAACTGCAGATTGCTGAAGAAACAAGAAGCTCACCATTACTGAGAATCTTGTCTTGGGCTGAAAGGCCTTAGTGTTTCAAGAAGTCTCAACTTGAGCTGCTTACTTCTTAAAATGACCTATGGCTAATGGGTTTAACCAATTTATACCAAGCAGAAGTTTGGCATGGCAGGGGGCAAAATATAGCTCATTTAAATGGGACATGGTGGGGTGCCTGGGTGGCTCAGTCGGTGAAGCGTCTGCCTTCGGCTCAGGTCATGATCTCAGGGTCCTGGGATCGCCCCTGAGTCAGGCTCCCTGCTGAGCAGGGAGCCTGCTTCTCCCTCTCCCAATGCCCCTCCCCCTGCTCATGCTTTCTCTCTCTCTCTCTCCCTCTCTCTCTCAGATAAATAAAATCTTAAAAAAAAAATAAATGGGACATGGTACCGTGTTCGAGAGCACGACACTGTGGCTCTAAGCTACTATCTCAGAAATGTGCCACCACGCTATGAACACAAACTGTGTGGTCGAAACTGAAATATAATCCCTTACGACAGGCCAGCACCACCTCCAGATACTGGAGCAAGGAGAGACCGGAGGCAGGGCTTGGGGTTAGGAACCAAGCGTCTGGCTCTGGTTTTAGTCTTATCCCGCCAGGCCACACTAGGGAAATGATGATCTCTTTGGGTCCTGTTTTCTCACCCATAAAATTAAGATGATAATACCTTCCATGTCTGCTTTATAAGGTGCAATGTCCACATAACATAATTGTCTCTACCCTAAATGTATAATTTTAAACACATGGCAATAAAGGGTTTTTTCCTTATTTAAGTTCTAAATCAATGGAAAAAACACCTATATTTGGTGGACATAAAAGCTCTGAGGCCGGGTGCCTGGGTGGCTCAGTCGTTAAGCGTCTGCCTTCGGCTCAGGTCATGATCCCAGGGTCCTGGGATCGAGTCCCACATCGGGCTCCCTGCTCAGCGGGAAGCCTGCTTCTCCCTCTGACCCTCTCCCCTGTTTGTGTTCCTGCTCTGCTGTCTCTCTCTCTCTCTGTCAAATAAACAAATAAAATTTTAAAAAAAAAAAAAAAAAAAAAGCTCTGAGGCCTTGGTACTTATCTGCCTGGGAGAAGCTCAATTTTACTCAAAGCATTGACTTTTTTCATAGTCTTTTGGCACTGATTTAAATCATCAAATTCATTCACTGGAAAGACTGTCATCTACTAATCAAATTTAAAAGATAGAAACACTATCACAGGAGTAGACTGGGCAGCAATTGGACTGAATTATTTTTCCTGAGAGGCTAACTCAGCGGAGCGTTGTAAAGCAGTACATATCGGTGATGTATGTTTATATGTTTTATATATTTTATATTTTTACAAATTTCTACACTCTAAGGATCTAACATTGAATCCTTTTCTTTTAGTCCTTTGGTTTTTCCTACTATAAGAAAAATACTTCATAAGCAGAAGATGAGCTAAGCCTAAGTAATTAAAATGTCAATTGTGTCTTCGTACACACACAGTATTTATATTGTTATATTTTTGGTACTTCAAATTATTTATTACTTTTAACAGTGCAATGACCCAAACAATTTTTTAAGCATTTACCCATTTCTCTCTTGTTAGGTCAATTATTTCCAAATTGCATTTATTTCTCTATGAAGAGAATGAGCCAATGATTACCAAATTGGTGCTCAGTGGCAACTACCCACTGAAGCCCTCTGAGAATGCAAAGAAATTGTCGTAAAATCACTGACTTCGACCGTCACTCCCCCTGTTGGGTGCTCACTGCCAAATGTCACAGATAGAAAGGGGTCCAAGAAGAGAGATGCACTTGGAAGACAAGAAGCTTGTACACTCATGCAAATACCTACTTATTCTGCTTAAATGGAGAAAAGTTCCCTGATGCCACTTGCCAACCTTATCCTCCAACAATCAACACAGAAGGGGATCCGTTGGCAGTCCTGCCCATTTAAGTGGCACTTCAGAGAAGTCTCACTTCCCCTAATAATCCTATTCTCACTTTCTATGGGGGGGCGGGGCATTTTGCTGCTCTCATCTTTTATTAGAAGGCAAGACATCCCCTTAGGTAAAGCTGAATAGAAGGCTTTGGCACTTTTCCAAACTCTTACCACACTTATAAAGCTTCTTCCCACTCAATTCCCGCCAAATCACCTTCCAAATGAACTCTTTTCCTATTTCACAGAGAAACAAATTCTTATTAGGCATGAATTTACTAATTTCCTGACTTGACATCAAAACTGAATCCCTATGTTAAGTGATGATGAATATTTTATTCCTCGAGATTCCTCTTAGGAGGGGAATTCTATATGTAGGAGAAGGGGAACAGTTTCTCTGTTGCTTTGGAGAGGTAACAGAGGCTGCTCCCCAGGTGGAAGACGGTAAATGGCTGTTCTCTGTGATGTGTCTACTCTCCATGGACACTGGATCTTCAAATAAAACGACTAAACTTACAAAATGTTTAGGTGAAATAGATATTTCCCAAAAATTTAGTGAATGACTTCAAGGAAGGAACCAGCACACACGGAAGGAATGTGGAGTACGGTGGCAGAGGGCAACTGAAGGGGTTAGCACAGGAAGCTTCTGAAAATCGGAATTTTAACCACATTTTTTTTTTAAGATTTTAGTTATTTATTTGCCAGAAAGAGAGCAAGAGCACAAGCAGGGAGAGCAGCAGGGAGAGGGAGAAGCAGGCTGCCTGCTGAGCAGGGAGCCAGATGCAGGGCTCGATCCTAGGACTCCAGGATCATGACCTGAGCCGAAGGCAGATGTCCAATGACTGAGCCACCCAGGCGCCCTTTTAACCAGATTTCTGAAGGGCAGTGCTTTTTATCTCTTCTTTCAACTCATTAGCTGCAAAGTGTTTTCCTTACTATCTGGAGCCAGGATCTGCTGTACTGCACTCCACCACTTGCTTCCTTCTCAAAAACCTTGCTCCATCAATTACCATCTTTCTCTTCTCAAGCTGCAGCTGCTCCCTCTCTCTTGGCACTGTTCGTTGAGTGTACGAATATGCCTAAGTCAGCTGCATCTAAAAAACCATCCTTCACTTGCAAAAACCGACATAATTGTGGAAGATGTGTGATGGATATGGGAGAGTCATTATAATATCTTCTCAATCTTTTTGCCTGTTGCAAAATTGCTATAATAATAATGCTAAAAGGAAGGAAGGGAGAAGGGAGGGGAGGGGAGGGGAAGGGAAGGGAGAGTAGGGTGCGGGAAAGAGAGAGGAAGGACCCCTCCTTCACCCTGAACTTCTGTCTACTACTCCAATCTCCTTGACACTTTTCAGTCAATCCTCGAGTTATCTCTAATCAAAACACTCACTCTTTAATCCTCAACTGCTTGCAGTCTGGATTCTGGTCTGGCTCCTTCCTGATCTCTCTGTAACATGGGATGTTGCTTACTCACACCTTCCTGAAACTTTTCCTGTAGAAGAGATCACACTGTTTGCTCCTAATCATCCCCTGGCTTTCCTTGCAGCCTCTCCTCAACTTCATTCATAGGCACATCTTTCTCTTCCACTCAGGAACCACGGTTACACGGTCTCCTACTAGATTTCGCTTCCTAGATATCTTATAGATGCCTCAAAACAAAACAAACAACAAAACAGCACCACAAACAGAACAAAACTTATTTTCCTGAAAACTCCTCTGTTGTTTCCTCTAACAGCCCCTGACACCATCACCCCAGATCACCCTATCCAGAAAAATATGTGTTTAGTAGGACTTTTCCCCTTCCTCTCCCATCACAGCCAAGTAGATCTCTAAACTTGCTGCTCTGCATGGCTCATGGGCCAGCAGCACGGACACTGACTGGGAATTGGTTAGACGTGCTCTGCCTCAGACCCAGTCCATCAGAATCTGTATTTTATTTTATTTTATTTCATTTATCTATTTGACAGAAAGAGATACAGCAAGAGAGGGAACACAAGCAGGGGGAGTGGGAGAGGGAGAAGCAGGCTTCCCACAGAGCGGGGAGCCCAATGCGGGGCTCGATCCCAGGACCCTGGGATCATGACCTGAGCCGAAGGCAGACACTCAACGACTGAGCCACCCAGGTGCCCCCAGAATCTGTATCTTAACAGGATTTTCAAGGTGATCTGTATGACCATTACAGTTTGAGAAGTACGGCCCTAAGTTCTTTTCCTCTTGCCTTTCTGCTTCTGTCACTAGCTAACTCTCATGTGGTTCTTG